CCGTTTGCAAGATCTTTTAAATAATCGTCACAATATGCTGCATGGCCTTGTACCTTTAAATAAAGCCCTCTTATTTTTTCTAAGAAAGAATGCAATTGAATGATGCTGTAATAAATATCTTTGGAAAGATCACTACAATACGTGTCAAGGATTTGTTTCAAATCAATATCGGTGGTGCGATCGCAAAATTTTAGTCTTAAATAGTTTACGCCAACATGCACCAACCAGTGAAATTCCTCCACCTTACCTGTATTAACCAAATATCTTCTACCATTTTTTAAAGCGTGCTTATTCTCGGGTGAAATTTGAAATTCTAAAACGGACTTTAAAGAATCTATCTGATAGAATTCCTTCTCACAAGCACGCCAAAGACGTCTATTTCCGTCTTCAAGATCTGCAACAAACGCATGTTCCTCATACCCATTCAACGTCATCCAATCCCATAATGACTTATGGTAAAGAGTCAAGCAACCATCATAAACTGGAAGAATTTCTGACAGAATGTCGATAATCGCTGTGCGTATTTCAAATTCTTTCCAGGACAGACCCATGCATGTAAAAAGAATTTTCAATGGGAGAGGCACGAATGCAGCGGCAATAACATTGATAAAACTTTTTAAGATAGATGACAAGGTATCTTGCTTTAAACGTTGGAGGCCTATTTTCAAACGTTTGAACTGTTTTTCATAATATCCGGCAATACCATTGGGGATGAAATCACTTAAGTCGGGTTCAATTCCCAAGCCCTTTTCTCTTAATTCACGAACTAAGTGATAAGCGTACAAAAACGATCCCTCACACTTGGAAATAACTAACCTTATGCTATCATAATCAAGATTAGGTAAATCACGACGAATGAAAAGCTCAATATCTTGATTGTGATCTTCATCATCAGGACGGATTTCTAACGGCTGTAAATTTGAAGAACCTTCCGTACTTGTAGCTCCGGTCTGCTCGAAATGAATATCTTAATCCAATCAGGCAGTTCACAAAATTTCTCGGATATCAACTCCAAAAATTCGCTCTTCATATCAGTTTTGCTCTCGTCCAAGGCATCAACAATGATCAACATTGGATCATTTCTGCGAAGAGAGTGTAGTGGATCGTTTAAAAGAACACGAAATGCATCTGACAGCGAGTCCCGAGAATGTTCACGACGAAGGATTTCGGTTAGTTTATCACGGAATCCATCAACATTATCACACATTTGGCTGGCAAGGGACTGGAGGATTCTGTGAGGATTGCTGTAATCAGAATTTCGAAAGTCGCAGAAATGGTGAGCTGCGAGTTGGCCACGTTCTCTATACAGCTCAAAGATCTTTCCAGACAAAACACTTTTTCCAGCGCCTGGACCTGCAGTTAGGATCATAACCCGGGTTTCTTTACTCACAAACCAACTTGAGAGTTTATCAAACAACCATCTTCTAGTTCCATCATGAAATGTTTTACAAAGTTCGTCAATTTTTCCAGTAAAGTCAAATTTAGCGAGTTTCTCGACAGATGAGTGATGAACATTCTCATCTACTGATTTTTTTAGCTTGACTACTTCACTTTTAACATCACTTAAATCTGATTTCAAGTCATCGTCTTGTAATTTCCATTCTTTCAATCTGTGAATATAACTTTCTTCTTCAGGGCTGAGAGGAGCCACTTTCAACTGATCAATGGCATTTTGAGAAATTCCCAAGTTTACCAACGGTACCGAAATTTCTCGCCACAATTTTTCAAACGTTGTGTCGTCCAAACTTGCAGTTGGAATATGACCATAGACTTTATTTCTGAACATTGTGACTCTCAAAATGTTTGCTGATATAGATGTATCGCTAACTGGAGGCATAACATTCCATCCAGTCGCTGGTGGAGACAATCCACAAATATTTCGAAGTAGGACAGTCAGTAAGGTGATATCGAAGTTGTTTGAATCTGGTGCACCAGATATTGGGAAGAGTAGATCCCATTGCGGGGCTTTAATTATATTGTATCGTATTCTCTGCAGGGTCGCTCTGTTGGCATTCAATGCGGAGGCCAAGGTGGAAGGTGGATGCACTGAATGTAAAGCAGCTCTCAAAGCATCTCCTCCTTTATCTACCAACAGTTGACAAACCCGGGAATAATTAGCTTTGCTTTTTGTTGGATCCATTAAATTGATCTTTAAATTGAAAATCCCTGAAATCGGAGAAGGAAATGATGAGGAGATTGTTCTGATAAAAACAAGACACTTACTTTACTTTACTTTAAAGGCATAACGTATTGACAAAATTTACAAGCATGTCACGTTCCTTATACCAGCTACTCAGGGAAAAGAATGAATAAATTCAGTGAGTTAAAATGGAACACCAAATTCTTTGTTACATTATGTAATAAGGTTGATATTATTAATAATGGAGTTAATATTTAACAAGACGCCTGTTTTGGCGTTAACTCCGGCGTGCCGCGCACGTGCCAGTCTTCAATATAAAGCTTCTGAACATAAACAATACAGTTCATACCCATTTAAATGCCTTGCGAACCTAAATGTTGTTCGATCGCGACATTCAGAAGCACATCGTACTTTAAAAAGTATAGAAGTTCAATTGTTCAAAAATGTAAATAAACTGCATGATACATTCACTCTGTCTTACACTTTGCCTTTGGAATTTGTGCTTATATAGTTATATTAAATTTTCAATCCTGTGCAAACTGCGACGTGTCAACGCGCCCATACACGACCACACGGTCTTGTTAAACGGCGAAATAGCAGCGATATTATTAAAATAGGACTAGAATATACATGTATTAAATATATTAATACCCCAATTCAATCTAAACTTAATCGAACAGCATCAAAAGAACGGTTTACTTGTTCCTCTTGGAGGAATTGCCGTATCATGCGAGCGAAATCGAATCGCGCATCGGAAAATTAGCCAAAGCTGTGCACCACAACTCTTGGGAGACAAGACTGGGGCGTAGATATATACGATCACATACACATTTCAAATACCAGTATATTTCGCGCCATTACACACTTGCGACGACGAAAAATATTAAAAAAAAAAAAAACAAAAACAAAACAAAACCGGGGCGAATTTTCAACTGTGATTGATAAGTGGGCGTAAAGACAGAGACTCGAAGTGAAAAAGACTGTAATTTGTTGGACTGAGTTTATGGAATAAATATATATAAATATGCGTATACGTTACAAAAAGAAAAACGTGAAAGATGTTGGCGGCGGTGACCATTTTTTAGTAGTGAGAAACAACTTTTGTTATGTCGAACGAGGAATTTGGTACAAGTGAAGCTACGCGAAATATGCAGGCGGCAGAGCTGCAAACCAGTCAACAAAATACGCCATCTGTGGCCCCTATCACACTAGCTGGCATAAAACCACCGAGTAATCTGAATATAAAGGACAATGTAATCGAAAACTGGAAGAGTTGTAAACAAAGATGGGAAAATTATGCCATTGTAGCTAATTTGGCGAGTCAACCGGAGACATTCAAAGTAGCATTGTTTTTACATTGTCTGGGCGAGGACGCTCTAAAGGTATACAATGGATTGTCGTTTAAGTCGGAGGAAGATAAACAGAATCTATCTAGGATCATAGAGAAATTAGAAGAGCACGCGATTGGTGAGGTAAATGAGACATACGCGAGGCATGTGTTTAATAGCAGAAATCAGGATCCGTCTGAGTCTATTCAAGCGTACATTACAGAGCTACTCAAAGAATCTCTTTTGAGAGATAGAATCGTCCTAGGGATAACTAACAAGAATTTCAGAAAACGACGTTTGCAAGAACGGATACTAACGCTTAAGAAGTGCATCCATATTTGTCACAGCATCGTAGCGGCATCTAATCAACTAAGCGGTGTCAGACATGACAATTGAGGAAGTAAACAAAGTAAGCGCGTGAAATCAGCAGAAGTCAGATCGATCGAAGAAAGGTCGGGGTATAATAACAACAGCCCGGATCAGGATCACGATCCTGTAAGTTCTGCGGAGGTGAACACGCGTTCCAGAGGGAGACGTGTCTGGCGTGGGGACAGCGATGTCGAAAATGCGGCGGTAGAAACCATTTTGCTAGGAAGTGTCCTAACCAAGCGCGAGGACAAGAAACAACAGCAAGGGGATCCGTAAAGCAGTTAGGTGAGGCATCTGAAGAATCAGACACGAGTGATCGATGTCGAATTCGTTGCGGGTATCACAACAAATGTTAATGCCGTTGAGGTCCGCAATTCAGGATACTTCAAAGAAATATATGCTATGATGGAAATTCAAAAGACCAAAAGATGAAAAAAAAGACCATTCGTTTACAAATTGACAGTGCCGCATCAATCAACGGGTGTATAAACGCTGGGGACAGCGAGATTAATATCCAAAATCCCTGAAACAAAAAAAATATCAGTGAAATTCATGGTGGTAATACAGGTCTTCAACCGTTAATTGGTGCGAAAGCTGCACAGCAGATGAAGTTATTAACGGTGCACCAGCAAAATTTGTTCCGGCATCCCCACCTGTCATTCAGTCAACTGTAACCCAGGTCACAACTAGAGAGTACTAGTTCAGAAATACCCGGAGGTATTCAAACAACCGGTTGGCACACTTCCGGGGATGGTACATGTGGAGCTCTCGCCCGAAGCAGGGCAGCAATAACACCATCACGTCGTATACCAACAGTCCTAAAGGATCCGTTAAGAAAGAGTTGGACAAATTAGTAAGGGACATGATCATAGCTCCGGTGAACAACCTACGCCCTGGATGAGCAGTGTTGTGGTGACCACTAAAAAGTCAGGAGCGCTCAAATTTGTATAGATCCCAGGCACTTAACAAAGTCCTCAAGAGAGAACCTATCAAATACCAGCCTGGATGAACTTTGCCTGAATGGCACAAGCGAAAGTTCTCGACAGCAGATCTTCGCTCGGGATTCTGGCATTGTGTGTTAGATGAACAATCTAGCCTTTTAACTACATTCTCAACACCCTATGGCAGATACCGTTGGCTTCGTTTACCTTTGGATTATCCGTGTCGCCCGAGATTTTCCAGAATCGTCTCATTTAAGCAATCGAAGGTTTAGACGGACTTCTTAATATAGCGGACGATATCCTAATTTATGGCATTGGTGAAACTGAGAAAATTGCGCAGGCGGATCATGACAGAAAACTGCTAGAACTTTTGGAGCGATGTGGAGATCGGGGTGTGGTATTGAACTCGGAGAAACTGAAGTTACGTCTCAAACGAGTTAAATTCATGGGTCATGTACTTACGGACAGAGGATTAGAACCAGACCCAGACAAAATAAAGGCCATGGAAGAGATGCCCAGGCCATAAAATGAGGAAGATGCCCAGATCTCGTCAAATTTCTACCGCACCTGGGAGATACTATGGAACCGATTCGTCGTCTTACACGGAAAGATGCCGTGTGGATATGGACCGAAGAACAAGAACGAGCTTCTTGCAGAGATGGTTGTGAAGTCACCAGTCCTCAGCTATTTTAATCCAGCTTGGCCGCTCGAGATCCAGTGAGACGCCAGTCAGTCTTAATGCAACAAGGAAAGCCAATAGCTTTCACTAGCCGTGCCCTAACACCGACAGAGCAGCGGTACGTGCAAATGGAGAAAGAGATGTTGACCATAGTATTTGCGCCAATCCTGAGTCAATTCTGAAGAAATCGCTGTAGCAAGTACCAAGAAAGCTACAAGGCATGATGATGCGATTGCAGAAATATAACGTCGAAGTAAACTATGAGCGAGGAAAGAATATGCTGATAGCAGATCTCTTGTCAAGGGCGCATCTACCATGCTCCCAGGATCACGACCACAAGGAGTTCGAACAGGTTAACTCATCGAATCTGCTACCCTTATCAAAGCCGCAGTTAGACCAAATCAGAGTAGAAACCCGACGTAATGAAACCCAACAAATTTTAAAGGCGGCCCGACGAGAGAAGGGACATCCCAGCGCAGGTTCGAGCGTATTTTGACATCAGGGATGAACTGACGGTCGATAACGAGTTTAGAGGGGAACGGGTAGTCATCCCAATTGCGCTGCGGCAGAGTGTAAAGCAGAAGGTTACACATCACATTTGGGGACGGAGTCATGTTTACGTCGAGCACGAGTCTGTGTTTTTTGGCCGGGTATGTCGGCCGAAATTCGTCAGCTTGTGGAGGCATGTGCGACTTGTCTGAAGCCAAAGGAAACGCTGGAACATCACGACGTTCCAAGTCGCCCGTGGGAGAAGATAGCAACGGATCTGTTCACATTCCAGAACAAGGAGTTTCTGACAACAGTGGACGATTATAGCAACTTTTGGGAAATCGATGACCACGACCGCCCCTGCAGTAATCTCTAAGCTGAAATGCCACTTCGCCAGATATGGGTGTTCAGACGTGTCCAAGTAAAATGTTCGCTACGTTCGCTAAAGTTTGGGAGTTCGAACACCGTACTATAAGCCCTTAGAATAGTAAAGCGAATGGAAAAGCCGATGCAGCCGTCAAAGTGGCAAAACAACTACTACGGAAGGCACAAGACAGCAAGACAGATCTGTTCACCGACACAAGGGATGAACACAAGTCCGGTGCAAAGGTTCTTGAAATAGAAGAACGAAAACGTTGCTCCCAACTAAAGAAACACTTCTCCGCCCAAGGGTGCCAAACCCAGAAGAACAACAGCAAAAGATCAAAGTGAAGCGGAGGACTCAAGCACACTATTAGAATCGAAATGCCAGAGATCTGAAAGAGCTGAAAAAAGGGGACGTAGTACGCATTAAGCCGTCGAAGCCGCCCACACGAGTTTGGAAGAAAGAAGTTGTAGTAGAAAAAATCGATAGTAGATCATACGTCGTCGAGACCACGGAAAGAACGAAATATCGCCGTAACCGTTACCATCTCAGAAAGACGCAGGAACCAAACGAGGCAGAGGAGGTCGAGTTTGGAATAGAATCTGAAGAGACCAAGAAAGACAAGGGGCCCGCAGAGAGACCAAAGAACCAAACCTTGGAAGCGAGGAGAGTTGAGGTTGATAATCCAACATTCGCCAGACCACAAAGGGAAAGACGAAAACCAGCGTACCTTGTGGACTATGACTGAAAGGAAGGAGAAAACGAAAAACAATAGTTCTGAGTATATATATATATATATATATATATATATATATATATATATATATATAATATATATATATATATATATATATATATATATATATATATACAAGTATATATATATATATAAACATGCGGTCATATATTCGAATGAAAAGGTGGTAAGGTGGCATCCTTAATAAGGTGGCTCCGAATACGTGTAATTAGTACAGTTTGTAACGTCATCTTTAAAGATGAGACGCGCGTTGGTAGAAGTTTTTAATTCGAAGTGTATATTCTTATATATGATCGTCTTATGCTGCACTGGTTCCATTTCGAGGCTCTTGTTCTTAGGGAAAGTGGATATAAACATATGAATATACTCTCCCAATTTCAGTGACGGATCTACTTCCCCAATGCAATTATCGTTTCAAGTTGCGCGACTGGTTTTTATGGCTAAATACTGGCAGAAAGACTTTTTTTCTATTATAATGGCATTAAACAGTGCTTATGTTGCTAAACAACTCTCTACGCCTCATCTGAAGCTTCTCAGCCCTTTCACCCCGCAACAAACTCAGAATCTTCAACACAAATGTGAAGTCAGTGCTGCTGTATGGTTCAGAAACATGGAAGACAGCAAAGATCAGCACCCACAAACTACATTTGCAAACTTGCATTAACAGATGCTCTGAACCATTCTCAATGTTTGCTGGCCAGATGTCACCTGCAACAGAGAACTATGGGAGAGAACGGAACAAAGCCCCATTGACATTGGCATCAAGGAGAGAAAATGGGGGTGGATATGTGAAACCCTACGAAAAACCGAATTTCAACAGCACAAGACATTAAAACAGTTTGCAGTAAACACTGTAAACCAACGTCAACGCAAAAGATTATTATTCCGGCACTGTGACACACGCATGCATGAATTGATATATAGCCCGAATTTACAACCAAAAGATGCATAAAAGGTAAACCGATCCTGATGATATATCTTATAGTATACACATAAATTTGTTTATATAATTATCGAAATTTAAATAGTGATACAAAAATGCACAATTCTGACCCAGTGATTCGATTTTCGTGTTAAAACTTCATAAACACCAATTTCTGCGGTGTTTGTTTATCATGTTGTACCTTTGTGGGTTCCTGAAAACCAGGGCGTGGCAAGCGAATTAAGGGATGTCATGTGATATTCACCATAACTTTTAAAAATAATAAAAATATCCAATATTATAGATTTATTCAAAGATTATCCACTATGTTTTGACTATTTGGCTTTTTTACTCAAGTTTTCATCTCTGCTTTTCTGATGAAAAAAATTAAAGCACTTTGATCAACTTCAAATATTGCCCCTCACCACTCCCCACACTCCTTTAGGCCAAACACTGCCTAATTTTGCTATATTATAATGATGTATTCCTTAAAAGATTATCACAGGGAGTAATTTCACAAGACAGCTGACATTGATTGTCTTATCTATAGTCTGAGTATATTTAGATTTTGGAAACATGCCATAAGAACCGACATATTACGAACACTTATGATGTTGCTACATACATAAGCCAAGCTACAGACAGTCAAGGTTGTTGACGTTTTCAAGAGCTGGACTGAAACCAATATATTTACAGAGCAACAGTATGTGAATTATGTAATTAGCAAGATATGTCATTTAGTTTAACCAGAAACATTTCTTTATCTTGATGATGCAGTGGTACGTATCCATGAAAATAATTCCTGTCAGTCAACTTTACATGTTACAAAACTTCAAAATTTATATTTTGGTCATCAACATTTTTTAAAACTTCCTCGAAATCTCAGCAAATCCCCAATACAAATTTTCAGCCCTTACTGCTTAGTGATCTTCAATTTTGGGGATTTTACACTAGTGTTCACTTTCCCACTTCATAAAATGAGAATATTAATATAATAAAGATATTTATAAATGCACATCTGCTGATATAGTCATTAAATGAATGAACAGAAACTGGAGATACAAAATGTGAAATAAACCACAATTCCTTACCTTCCATTCAATAGCAGAGCAAAAACATCATTTAATTTGCAACATAGTTAACACACACAGTGAAAATGAATCCAGATTCTTAAGGAAAAAGGTACGAAAAACTGTTAAGTTTAAGATATGAACAGTTTGACATTTTTACCACAAAGTACTATGAAAAAATCACATCATTTTCATTGAAGTTATGTAAAATGTCATTTTGAATTTCTGCTTGGGGGCAGAATGTTCAGCTAGTGCATGCTTGGGAGCCATGTTTGATATATATGAGATACATCTGTGAATAGAGTTTAGTTTAAGCCAATGCTGTATGATGAACAAAGGTATAGGCAATATATACCTATAACTTTCAAATTTCTATAACTATAATCTATGATTGCAGGTGCCCCAGAGCTGTTAACCTGCACCACTTTGGTGACCCTGGTGATGATGGAAATCTTAAAAGTAGCTTCTGCAATATCAAGATAATTATTGTCTTATAATTTATCAGACTTGGCCTGCATGAGAAAATATTTTACTCAACCTTTATTATGGATACATATGCATTTTATTTCTCCCATAACCACTTAATTTTGTCTGAATAGATTATGCTTGAAAACATATTTGATATGGTAACTAAATATTTCATAATATGTAATATAAGTATGAAATTTTGCAGTGAAATTTTTGGCCTCATGCACTAGCTACAGGATGCATCCCATCCAATCCTATATATCTCCAGTGTGGAGACAGCTAGTATGCATATGTTGATATTGATGTGGTAAGATATTGGTGTGCAGTAAAACAATAAATCATGAAACCTAAATGCCTTTCGATTGTCAATGGTTCAGATGGTCAACTACCAGCAATCTAGGTAAATACATATAACACTCTTATTGATCTTAATTAAAAACAATACATTTCTAAGCCTTCACTTCAGCATGGCAATTGCATGGAATGCACCCTAGGCTGGTATAAGCACTACAATGTTAATACCTGTAGGTAAATTTATGCTATTTACATAGCTTCCAGTCAACTAAGATGGAGAAAAACCGAGAAATAGATTTGTAAATTAACCCTCTTTCTATTTATAATCCGTGTGAGAATTATCCTTAATGCATAAACTTAAGTTAACAAAAAATGTTGGTGTAACATTTGGTGTAACATTGGGCGGATGATAAACAAACTTTTCAGTACGGAATTACGTAAATGATAAATTATTCTCGAAAATATAGACAATTCTATAATATGAAAGATGTCTTTAATATTATATTCCCAAGATGAAACAGCCTAAAGCTGAAATATTATAATAAACAGCACTGTACAAAGGCCAACAGTAATTTTGCTTCTCGTCCTCGATATTGGAAGCTTATATAACAAATCTCTACTGAATAAAATCAATATTTTTAGGGGAGTCGTATATCAAATGAGTAGAAATGACCATTGCGGTTTATGATCCTTCTAATTACACTGATAGATAAATACCTTGAAGTAATACCTTTGTTTATTCCTGAATGTTACACTTCGGAGACGATAATTATAAAAACAGTTTTAATTATTCAACATTTAAAAAGAATTGGAAGAACAACATGTGTTGGTGGTATACTGTTATATCATATAGGCACTGTGATATAGAGTACCATAACAGAAACATAGTCTGGGCGGTATGCTTGATCTCCGGTCGGCACGAAGGGCCGAAAGGGCGGGCAAGGGAACTAATTCCGCAATGGTAAAAATAGGTACGTTTAGCGTTCAGGTTGAGAGCCGCAGCCGCAAGGAGCCTCACGAACGAAAGGTCAGTTTTTAGGCTACTAGAAGCCAAGAAGACAGCACCAGACCAACGAAGGTTCTAGTCTCAAAGAGGCGACAGACTATAATTAGCTATCACCTCAAAGAACTTTGGTTAAAATCTAGAACTAGGATTAAAAACATATCGCTGTAAATATATTTCGAGTTAATTTACCTGATCTTAGTATAAAAATCAAGCAATCATCAGAGACCAGATCCTCGACAAAATGAATTATCATTTTCCCTTATTTCATATGACATCGGCACTGGATAACTTTAGGTAATTCTATTATTGTTTGTGGGAAACGCGCTTTTTTCCCAACTGAAAATTAAAATTTTTCGTCCTTTATATAAAATAATTCAAAACGTTAAGTTAAAGAGAGAGAAAGTCTGTGAGTTCAATGCAATGTTTGGAAACTATTAAAAAACAATAATTGATGTGTTTTTCAGTATTTAAAACGTGTGATAAAGAGTTTTGACAGGCATATACTGTATCTCAAAAACTCCCACCTTCACGGGATTTTTGCTTTTCATCTTTGTTGTTGTTAATTGAATTTCACCAAAAAGCTTTTTGCATAAACTTGCAGCTCACAATATTTAATGATTTACAGCGATAACTTTTACAAAAGAAAAGGTATGCAATTTGATACATATGTCAAATTACCTGAAACACTATCACCACTTAGACTGATACTCTCATCACCACAGATAATTCATTGGAATTTCCGCCATTTTGCAACTAACGACCCACTGATCTCAGTACAGAAAGTGGAGAAAAAATTTTCCGCCTTAATCAAAATAAAACATTTTGTTCTAGGCCTCTCAGGAGTTTCGCTTTCATCGATGATATGGGGCGGGGCATTTTTACACAATTTTCTGTTAATGGAAACAAAGACTACAAATTTATTTTATTCACGTCAATTTATTGCTATAATTCCATTACCACCCTAGTCTTGTTAAGGCTAATTTCCACTCCGGAAAACGAGCAGCGGATCGGATCGGACCAGCTAGGAAAAAAATCCGTTCCATGAAGTGATTTCGGATCGGATTAAAAAAAGTTAAAATTATTTGAACTTTTTTTTATCAAGTCTCGGACGTTTTCGGATAAATATCAGCAAAAAATTTCAACAGACGGCGCACGCGCGGATTATCTTTCGTTCCTATCCGATCCGATCCGCTGCTCGTTTTCCGGTGTGGAAATTAGCCTTAAATCACGTACATATGTGCAGTTTAGAGATACCGTGATCATGAGTCAGTGAATAAATTGGCATACAGGAGAATATTCCAATCAGATGGAAAAACTGTGATTAAAAAAACGGGAAAATACACAAAACAACACGTGGGGTGGATTAACACTCATCGTGAAAGATTTAGGTATTCACTGAATAAACGAAATCAAACGAATTACAGTGAAATATTCTGCTGTATCTGCATGGGTCATGTCACATATAAAGAGAGGATGCCCAGCACGCTGATGCATGCATGAATAGAATAGTTGTAAAACGTTAAAGGACATTGGCAACGAAAATTTTTATTTGCCAAATCTGTTGAAATCATCTAGGAAATACTTAATTTAATGTTTTTGTGTGTCTATCGTATTTGGTTCTTAAGAAAATTTCCAAAAATGTTCATCGGTGGTCCGCCATTTTGAAAATCGAGCCTTATGCTAATTTATGCTAGCATACATTTGTGACGTCATTTGATGGGTTTGGGAAATATGATTATATAAACTATTGTTGTATTCTCATATGGCAACTTGAAAAACGTGGTAAAATAGAGTATAGAGGGGGGACAGAATCAAATACCTATGCAAAATTAATGCATCAACATTGCGGGGACATGTTTTTCAAAATATTTGGAAGAGAACATTGAATATGAACTATGTACACACATATTTACACATGCAGTGCACGTCGATACACAACAGGACGTTACGGTGGCAACACAACACAACTAATAACCAATCTCCCAAAGTTTAGAATTCTACTTATATTTAGATTTATACTAAAGCTAAGGCGCGCATATTTTCCCCTGCTAACAATTTTACTATATTTTAGCATAAACAAGACGCCTTTTCTGGCGTTAACTCCGGCGTGCCGCGCACGTGCTAGTCTTCAATATAAAGGCTCTGAACATAAACAATACTATGGAATGCCATAGCTGTCTTACGTGGTATATATTCATCATATGCGGTGCTTTTGTCTCTATAAGCTGTCCTTTTGACATTATATGCGGTGCATTTTTCTTTATATGCTGTCTTTTGACATTATACGCGGTGCATTTTTCTTTATATGCTGTCTTTTGACATTATACGCGGTGCATTTTTCTTTATATGCTGTCTTTTGACATTATACGCGGTGCGTTTCTCTTTATATGCCGTGCAATTGACATTATACGCGGTGCATTTCTCTTTATATACCGTGCAATTGACATTATATGCGGTGCATTTTATACAGTTCATATTCATTTAGATGCCTTGCAAACCTAAATGTTGTTCGATCGCGAAATTCAGAAGCTCATTGTACTTTAAAAAGTATAGAAGTTTAATTGTTTCAAAATGTAAATAAACCGCATGATACGTTCACTTTGTCTTACACTTTGGAATTCGTGCTTTATATATTAAATCTTCAATCCTGTGCAAATTAACTGCGACGTGTCAACGCAACCATAAGTGATCATATCTTGTTAAACGGCAAAATAGCAGCGATAATATTAAAATAGGACCAGAATCTACATGTATTTAATATATTCTTTCCCCAATTAAAATCGAACTTAATCGAACAGCATCAAACGCACGGTTTATTTGTTCCTTTTAGAGGAATTGCCGTATCATGTGAGAGAAATCAACATGAACATGTCATACGACACGACAAAATATATTTGAGTGACCACACGACGAAGCGCCGAGTTTGCGAAATGTTCGTATTCGTCGTACTCTAGTGCTTTTCATAGCAGCAATAACATTCTACAGCCCTTGTTAATAATGCGCAATGTCCACCACATTTACACAGTAAGTTTTTCAAGGCGCCCGCATTCGCTATTTCGAACTCGCGATCGAAATCTTCGTCAGAGGAAGATGAATCACTACCGTTTTCGGCATCGCTATCGTTAATATATCACAAGATTTTCCCTGCGCCTCTGGCTCATATTGGTAGGGCAACACTTCCTCTAACTGCATGGTTTTCGTTAATATGTTCCATGACAATCATAAAAAAACTACAACTCCCTTTTTAAAGCAAAAAATCTCGATAAACACAGTAAACACGCTAGTAAAATATATTGATGTGTTTAGGGAACCCATCAAATGACGTCACTTCCGCCAAATATAATTTTTTCAAAAATTGATCCAATATGGCGGACGAGGTCCAAATTTTGGCTGAATTGTGGTGAAAATAACTCATAAACGAAACATTTTTGGAATAAATTAACACCATATCCATAATTAGACGGTTGAACACTTTAAAAATAGCGAATAAAAATTTTCGTTGCCAATGTCCTTTAATACGAATTCTCTGATGTATAAGAGCTCGTATTTGAACATCAGCAACTAATTCACTCGTTCACATCTATCAAAAGAAGAAAATCGGACATAAATTCGCAGCAAAAATTGCAAATGTAAACGGGCGTTAAGTCGGTACAACCTTGAATATTACTTTATATTGTTATAGGGCAATCGTCACTTCCGGTGAAATGGAGCTCAATGATTGGCTGAGGCCTGAGAAGAATTTTCAGCGGCCATTATATACTTTCCCGTAATGGACCGGCACTTCCCCGTAATGGATCGGTGTTACCGGCGATCCATTACGAGATGAAAAACAGACAGGAAGTTCTGAATGAAAAAAGTACAAATAGATGCTCAAGAGAAAATTTAATTGCTTTCGAAATTAATACGACGCTCTTTTGAAATTAATAAGACAGTTAAGGTAAATAATAATTCAATATTTTGGGGTTTTCTATCAAATGCGTACCAGGCTACTAATACGAATTCATGCATTTCTTGTTTGTTTGATTGTTTCCAGTGCAAATACATGCCTTATGCCATATAATAAACTTTTTATTAACCTCGGTTGCTCGGGCGAGGTTTGTTTATCGAGGTCCGATATTTCTGGGTAAAGACCCCGCGCTCGGTTATGTAATTTGTAGTTTTACTATATTGCTTTACGTTTCCAAAACGGCAAAATCTTCATTTCTGCATCAGGACAGGTAAATTGGGTCTAATCTGACAGTAATTATTGCCGCGCATTTGAAAATAATTTCGTACGATATAATTAATCTAGCTAGGCTTCGTAGTGCTATTTACAAGCCTTTGTATAGCAGTAAAAAAGATTGAAATTTGAAATTTATTTTAAATTAAATGCAGTGTTTTATTGGCAATTCCACCATTGTTATTAAAAGCGATAATAACACATGTGTGATCATCGTGTTTTATCCACCAATCAGGAAGCGGGTATGTACGCCCTAACAGGAAAAAACTTTTAATAAAAATTCATTTATATTACATAATAAAACAAAAATACATGCATGCTGCTCGTTCTAAATAAAGGTTATAATATATATAACTGTAACTGAATAAATGTATTATTCTCCGCGAAATGCAAAAATATTTTGCTTGTTCAATTTGAATTGCAACAACAAAAAATTATTACTGTACTCAACGTCCATGCAAGAATTCAGAAAAAATGTGTATCGTATTTCGCGAAAAAAATCGCGTGTGGATCAGGTCGACATAATGAGGCGGATATTGCTATTATTTCAATTTCATTTCACATCATTCTCATTATAAGAAAATAAATTAAAATTTGAGATTAGGGTTATCTGTCTTCGGCGTATGCCATACTGCTATCTACATCATAAATCATTGGAACTAATTTCTTGCAGTGA